GGCCGGCGGCGCCAGGGAGCGGGCGGGCCAGGCGCGCTGAGAGTCCCCGGACCCCGCGGCCCCCCCCAGCGGCCCTCCGGACTCACAGCCTCCAGCCCGGTCCTGCCTGCTTTGGCTGCTCTTGGTCTCTGATCCTGCCTCCCTCCGTGGCCTCCGTGGTGGTCGCCTCGCCCCTGGCTCAGGTGGATACCTGGAACGTTCTTGATTACTAAGGTGGATTGGGGGAGGGGTCGTCTCTCCCCACATCTAGAGTTCCCTGGGTCCTCCCTTTGTGGAAATATCCCCCTTGCTTTACACCAAGGCCTTTTGCTCACGGACCTCCCCTCTCTCCTGGAAACATCCTTCCCGGAGAAGGGGAAGCAAGCGGAGTTTCCAGAAACTCCAGGGTGAGTTGGGACCCCGCGGGAGGCATGGCAGAGGCAGTGGCCCTGCCCTGGGTCCCTCTGGTCTTCTTCCTTGAAGAACTGCCAGAGGGAAAGGATGGAGAGACAGACTGGGGAGAACCGAGGCCAGGCCCAAGGTGGGCACTACACCTGGGGCCCAAAACACGCAGGGAAGAACCGTCACCCTCTTGTCTCCACTCTCTGGAGACTAGGATGGTCCCACCTCCTAGGGTTGGGCCTGGTAAGATCTCTGCACCAGGCAGCTGCCCAAGCCTTTGCCTTCGTATTCACCATGATTTCCCACCCTCCCCACTCTGCAGTAATATAAGTGACACCCACAATCAGTGCCCCACAAGCAGGACCAAGATGGGGCCTCCAAAGGAGGTAAGGAGATCCTTCGGTAGATCTTAGGGACAGAGATGCCCCAAGCCAAAGATCTCGGAGCAGATAGGTCGCTCATAGGCAGAAGGAGGAGGAGAGTGTATTCACCCAGCAGAGGGGGTGGGCCCCTGTTCAGGTGTCCCCACAAGGCCACAAAAAGCCCAAAGATTTGTGTGTCACCAACTGATCATTGTAAATAAAGTGGACCTGCTTTTTCAGCCCTGTCACCACTCCTGTGTTGTGTTTAATGCCAGGCCTCGTGGGGGTGAGATCATCACAACCCTGAAGGGCAAGAGAAGACCCTGGCTTTTAGCATCTGGAGCCATCTCTGCCTTTGGAGTGGGGGCTGCAGTCAGGAAGCTTTTCCCCTCATGGCAGGGAAGGAGGCAATAACGTGCACCTCCTCTCAGAGCCCCAGACGAACAGCATCTGTCTGCCTGTTTGTCTGCTCAGCCTCCCACAATGTCTATACACCCTGACTCTGATGCACCCGCTGGGAGGGGATGCTGGGCTGGAAGCTTTTTGTCTTTTGTGGTTTTTTGTTTTTTTTGAGAAGTTACATGGGTATGGTACAGCACGGAGTGCAGACTGTGTGTGTGTGTGTGTGTGTGTGTGTGTGTGTGTGTGTGTGTGTGTGTGTCCCTGGAGATAAGGGAGGACAAGTTGTAGGGAAGAAAGGTGGGCAGCCTGGTGTTCTTTCCGAGAACTGGAGAGATGTGTCCAGACTCTCGTGACAATGGGTCTGGAGCTTGGATGCTTTATTTCTGGGCTGAGTTGGGCATTGATCCCAGACTCACCCAGAAGTGTGAGTGGCCTGGGTCATCAGCAGCCATCACAATGCCTCTTTCCAGAGCTGCTAGAATAGAGGTGGCCACCACCCCCTTACCCCAATGGAACCCACACAGGATCAGGGGGCTCTGCAGAAAAAAGCTAGGGCTAACTGCACAACCCAACCAGGGGTGACAAGAACTCATCCGGCGAGGAGTTCACATGGTATACCTTCTCTTTTACCCTCTACCCAGATTCTGCTGATGTATCTCTCACTTGAGGCAGGAGGAGAGGAAGTGACATGTCAGGCCTGTGAGCCAATGATGGGCTTCAGGGTAGCCTCTGGTGCTGGCTGAGCAAGGTAGCCTCTGGTGTTGGTTGAGATAGCCTTAACCGGCAACAAGGTCACAACACATCCTCTTGAACCAGAGGCTAGCAGCAGAGTTACTAGAATAAGCACAGGCCTACAACAGGCACTGTGGTAGGTGGTGTGGATGGAGGGTCTGCCTTTCTCAAAGGATGTGCATAAATTAAGTACGCAGGGACTGAGGAAGACCTCACAGGTCTGCTCCCAGCCTCTGCCGCACTTCCTCTACTTTCATCTCCCGGTAGCCTCCCAGCATAGAGACAAACACACACATGTACACACACATACACACACAGAGCCTCCATCTTTCCATCACCTAAGCTATGCTCTCTACAGGTGAAATGAAAAAGCATGTGAGTGGTTTCACCTGGCCTACCTCCAGTCCTTCCTTCTTTCTTTTTTTTTTGTACCAATAATGGGTCTTGAATTCAGGGCCTTAAATTTTTGCCTAGTTTTTTCCAGTCAAAGCTAGTGCTCTACCACTTGAGCCACACCTCCACTTCTGACTTTTTTGCTAAAGTTAGATAAGGAGGTAAGAGTTCAAGTGTGGAGCCTCCCTATTCCATCTCTGCTGGGCTGGCTTAGAACTGTAATCTCTAGACTTCAGCCTTCTGAATAGCTAGGATGACAGGCATGAACCACCAGTGCCCAGCCCTCCCTCCATTAATGTGTATGGTGGAAAGAGGACTTGGTCCAACCTCCCTCCTCACTGGATGAGATAAGCCAGAGGTAAGCCAGCACAGCTCAGCGGCCACTAGCATTAGACATCCAGCAGTCCCGGCAACACTGGTACCCAGGGGAGAGGCGTGTCCCAGGAACCACGCCCATCCTCATCTATGTACTTCCTTGAGCATCTCCTTTGTTCTTAGATGAGCGAGGCAGAGGAAAGGGGCTGGCACCAGGCAGCCTTCGGATTCCTGCAAGTGGGCTGGACCAGTGGTTTTCAAACCACATTCGGCAAGTACCAGATTTCCCAGCAGTGCCCTAAGGCCTGCTGAAAGGAGGTGAGACAGAATGGGGAGGCGCCACACTTTGAGTAGAGCACTGTGTTTGGAGATTCTGGGTTTGGAATCATGGGAAACTCCTTCCATGCTTGAGGCTCTGAGGTCTGCTGATAGGCTTGGAGTGCTTAAAGGGCCTCAAATGCGGCAATGGAAGGTGGGAAGTGTGTGTGCCTGGAACTTTTCTGGCCTTTCTCCATGTCACCTGATCCTACTCCAGAAGGGTCAGCCTGTGACTGAGAGGACATGCCACCACACACAGCTTCTTGTTCACTGTGCTCTCCCTCCACCACCATCCTGCTGCATGGAACTGCTCCCTTAGGGCCCTGACATCCCCATGCTCTCTGGCCTCCAGGCCTTTGCTCATGCTGTTTCCACTCCCTGAAAGGGAAGGTCCCTTTGCTACTTTTTTGTCTGTCATGGGGCTTGAAGTCTAGATCTGGATGCTGTCTCTCAGCTCTTCAGCTCAAGGCAAGCGCTCTACCACTTGAGCCACAGCGCTACGTCTGGTTTTCTGGTAGTTAACTGGAGATAAGAGTCTCATGGACTTTCCTGCCCAGGCTGGCTTTGAACTGCAATCCTCAGATCTCAGCCTCCTGAGTAGCTAGGATTACAGGCATGAGCCACCTGCACCCGAGGCCCTTTGCTACATTTTTAAAATGTGTTTTCCACAGAGGGTCTTCTACTTTAGCTGGTCTAGCCTTGGACCTCAGTCCTCCTATTTCTGTCTCCTGAATAGATGACAGGGGTGAACTGCTATGCTCCGCCTTAGCTGTGCATTTGGACTCCTCCTACCCTTCCTTGGAGGCCCAGCTCTACCTCTTGGGAACTTCACTTAATACACACTCCTTTACTTCCGTGAAATCTGGGGGTGATCTGCCCCCCACACTCACAGAAGTGTTCCACCTTGAACAACTCTTTGTATGTGTTTGTCTCTCCTACCCACCCACCTTCAGTTCTTTGTCCACAGTAGGGCAGAGCCAGCATGCAGTAATGATTTATTGAATGGATACACGAATGAACGAGCCAGATGAAAGAGACATCATGGGCCAGGAAATCAAGTGGGTGGAGAAGCATTTCCTCTGCCAGGCTTCTGTCTGGAGACACTGAGAACTGTCCTCGGGTGCCCTGTTCTGACAGACGGCTGTGCTTGGGGATGTGATTGGCAGCCAAAGAAGAGGCTAGAGGAACAAAGTGAAGCCTCACACCCCTTTTCTGCTCTGAATTTCTAAGCCCTAAACTTGGGCACTCTCAACCTCTGAGCTCATCCAATCCAGAGCTGCCTTACACTGCAGAGCAGACCACCCACTCTCCAGGTACCCAGACTGGGATTTGTACTTGAGTGGGTAGGTAAGGCCATCTGGTCAACCTCTAGTTTAACATACAGACAGTAGACCTGGATTTGGGTGTTGGACAAGCTGAATGCCAGTCCCATCCCTGCCACTCAATGCCTGTATGACTGTGGGCAGATTCCTCAAGGTTCCTGGAGCCTGGAACCCACTTTTAAAGACAGGAAACGATGACTTGGCATCCTAGATAGTTGATTTTGTTTGGTTGGTTTTCTTTTTTTCTTTTCCTTTCTTTTTTTTTTCTTTTGCCAGTCCTGGGGCTTGAATTCAGGTCCTGGGAGCTGTCCCTCAGCTCTTCAGCTCAAGGCTTGCACTCTACCATTTGAGCCACAGCGCCACTTCCAGCTTTTTCTGCTTATGTGGTGCTGAGGAATCGAACCTAGGTCCTCATGTATGCAAGGCAAGCACTTTACCACTGAGCCACCTTCCCAGCCCCCTAGATAGTTGAGAGAGTGCAGTGGATAGTTTATTTGGCATAGTGCCTGATCCACACAGTATGTGGTAATAGCTATTTTGATTACTATTATAATTTTATCTGCAGCTCACCCAGGACAGAGCTAGAATGAGGAAATCAGGTTCCTGGGGGTTTTTTGTTGTTTGTTTTCTTTTTCTTTTTGCCAGTACTGGGGCTTTAACTTAGGGATTGGGGGTTGTCTGTTGGCTTTATTTTTGTCAAGGCCAGTGCTCTTCCATTTGAGTCACACTTCCACTTCCAACTCTTTGGTGATTAACTGGAGATAAGAGATTCACAGACATCTGTGCCTGGGTTGGCTATGAGCCTTGATCCTCAGATTGCAGCCTCCTGAACAGATAGGTTTACAGGCATGACCTTCAGGTAACTAGTTTAGATACCTGGTCTGTTCAGAACCAAGTATGTTGTTTGTTCATGGTCCTGATGGACTTCTCATCTAGTCCTATTCAACTCTGGACCGTGGTAGAAGATTATTTAACCTGCATAGGCTGTTCCCCTGAGCAGCAGAATAGAGCTGTTATATTTCCCAACTGTCCTTTTCACTTTCTTGTGTGTGTGTGTGTGTGTGTGTGTGTGTCCTGAGGCTTGAATGCAGGGCCTTGAGCACAGTCCCTGAGATTCTTTTTTTTTTCTTTTTTTTTGAGGGGGGGTCCGGTTGTGCGGCCTGAACTCTGGGCCTGGGCGCTGTCCCTCAGCTCTTCAGCTCAAGGCTAGTGCTCTACCACTTGAGCAACAGCGCCACTTCTGGCTTTTTTCTTATGTGGTGCTGAGGAATCGAACCCAGGGCCTCATGCATGCAAGGCAAGTGCTCCACCACTGAGCCACCTTCCCAGCCCCAGTCTCTGAGATTCTTTTACTCAAGGCCAGCACTCTACCAGTTGAGCCACAGTGCCATTTCCACCTTTTTCTGAGTAAAGAGTCTCTAAGGCATTTCCTGCCCAGGCTGACTTTGAACTACAATCCTCAGATATCAGTTTTCTGAGACTAGGATTACAGATGTGAATCACCAGCCTAGCCTCTTTTTTGCTTTTAAAAAGTGAGATTTATATTTTTTTAGACCTAACACAATGTCTGGTACATGGTTAACACTTATAGGTAAAGAAAAGAAAGGAGGGGAGGGGAAAGGAGGGAATAGAAAGCTGCTATTGGCAGAAATATTGATACACAAGTTTCCCAACAGAAGTCTTCAGGGCTGGAAGGAAATGGGTAAGGGATGCTCAGAGGGGAAGCTGGAGTCCAAGCCATCGTGAAGGAGATGCCACCTGGGAAGATTGGCCAACACTGTTGCATGTTAGGAACCCTTTTCAAAAAAGACAAAAGAAACTAAGCTATACCAGAAAGTACAGGTGGACTCATTTTCACCTGCTAAGTATTCACCTTGTGTCTGTGTGTCTGTGTGCGTGCACACATGCACACGCACACACACCCAAACTCAGGGCCTCTTGCTCTCTTGGCTTTTTCTACTCACAGCTGAAGCTCTACCACTGAAGCTGAACTTCCAGTCCAGCTTTTATGGGATCCAGCCTGTGGGTCCCACCATGGCTGCCTAGATCTGCAAGACTTTTCTGTTCCTCAAGGTAGCTGAGTTGCATGTTTAGTTTAGGGCAGTGTGAGTCTGGGACAGATCACATGGCAGTTTTGGAAAAGGATGATTGTTGAAAGGACCTGCCACAGCACTAGACAGCAGCACCTCCGGCTAGCTCATAGGATGTGGGAGTCCCAGGCCCTTTTTTTTCTTGGGGACACCGGGTCTTGCATCCTAGCTGACCTTCATCCACTTTCTGGTCTCTATCCAATGGACTACTGGCTTCCTCGTTCTCAGTACCTGCCCCTTTTGCTCTGATTCTGTCTCCTCACACCTCTTACTCTCAAGTCCACCCAAAGCCTCTGGCTTTTGTGCAGGGGCTAGAGTGTGCAGTGGGCTTCTGGTCCATGAGTGGTCACAGCGGGTGTCTGGGTGATCGCCTGGGTCATGAGTCCATACTAATGCACTTGGTGTGACTGGAGAGTAAGTTCACAAGCCATAGCACTTGGGAGGGGTGAGCACCTACTGATCACTCGTTCACTTGTGTTAGCTGGGCAGGCTGATCTTCATATCCAAGGTCTGGGGCTGCCCGGGATGCCTTCCAGGATATGGGCTACAGGCTTCTCCCTTTCCTCCATACAAGGGAGGTCCCCCCCCCATGATCATTGTGAGGGACCATCCAGATGGGGCTCCAGGAAGGTTGTAACGTGCCTACATGATCAGGCACTGGGAGCCTCCTTGCTGGCTCTAAATTAAGAAAGCTGCAGCGAAGCCATGTAATAACACTCCAGGTGGGAGCTCCTAACAGGAACAGGGGCCCACTGCAAAGAAAATGAGGCCAGATTGGGGGTGGGAAGCTGAGATGGTGGTCTGCAGGGATTTGCTGCAGGAGAGCCCCCCTGGAGAAGCAGGAAATGGTTCACAGAGCTCTGACCCAAGCCCCCTCCCCCCCCACACACATACACAGGGCTTGCAAGGTGGGTGGGTGAGTTGAGTATTGGACCCTTAAGTGCAGAAGGATGTCCCAGCCCTGGAGCCTGAGCTACCTCCAAAGTGCTACAGCAGGAAGGGGATTGTGCAGCAGGGCGTCTACTGTCACAAATCATGCCTGTGATCTCCTATTCCACAGGGACACAGAACAGGATCATTCAGCAGCCTTTGAAATAGGGCAGACTGCAGGAAGGAGGGGGGATATTTGATAAGATCAAAGGGAACAACTGTTCTTGCTCGCTCCTGTTCCTCCCTACCTCCCTGGTCCCCAAAGCACAGCTGACCTCTTACATCATCACATCAACCCTTTGCTAAAATCCCATTGATGTCAGGCAGGCGTGGCAAGTCCCCACTCTAGGGCAGCACTGGCCAGGACACAGGAAATGCCCTCAGAGGTAAATGGACACCTTCAAGGTGCTTAGACTCCTTAGAGATGGCTGAAATTCATCCTACAGGATCTTAAACATGACACATTGTTGCCCAGGCACCCTTGGCTCACATCTATAATCCTAGCTACTCAGGAGGCTGAGATTCCAGTTCAAAGCCACTCTCAGCAGAAATATCCTTGAGACTCTTATTTCCAATTAACCACTGAAAGGCCAGAAGCAAAGCTGTGGCTCAATGGTAGGGCATTAGCCTTAAATGAAAAAAGCTAAGGGCT